TAAATAAATAAATAAATAAATAAATAATTGAAATTTAATTTCACAAGGATTTTTTAAAAATCAAGTGTCATGAAAACTTACCTCTTCAGGAAATTCTTCACTGACAAGAGACATGATAAGTGATGTCTTCCCAACTCTGGCTGTGAAATTGAGAAGATGAACATTCCTGAAGGATTTCCATAGGTAATTCTTGGCAGGGGGGGGGGGGCGAGGGATGGTGTCAAGTTACTACCAGCAATAGTACTGCTAACCAGCAATAAAACTGTAGACAAACCCTTATTTTTAAAAAAATAGAGCCATGTTTCTTTGAAATGACAACTATAAAAGTACAATCAATATGGTGAGTTCTACAAAACTTTCTCATTTTTTAAAAAGAAAATCTTAATATAGGTCAGCTAATAAGGGGGAAAAATCCTTGCACGAATATACAGCAGTGGTCCCCAACCTTCGTGGTGGCAGGACCACGACTGGAGGGGGAGGGAGAGATGGTTTTGCATGCTATCTAGCTCCCACACATGCATAGATGAAGCTTCACTCGTTTGTGCAGCCTGGTTCCTAACAGGACATGGACTGGTACTGGTCCATGGACCCCTGGGGATCCTTGATATACAACTCCTTTCCAAACAAGATTAAAACTACAACATCCTCATAATAAAGAATTCTGGGGTTCAATTTAACAACAAGACTTTGCCAAATTACTGCACTGATCAACGCTTTTGAAGACTACTGGATTACTATATACCAGGATAGCAATTGATGTGACTTTCTTTCTACAACACGCTTAACTAGGTCAGTTGTGGATTGGTTAGAATATCTGGGGAACATCATAACCAGACCAACTGATCTAGTCAACTTAAATTCCAGGTGGTCAAACACAGCCCAAATCATGCCTAGTGTGAGTCCAGTTAATTAAACCTAATCAGTTGTGATATAAGTACACACAATGAATAACATTAGTATTAGCTTGCTGTAGTAGCCCAACAATGCTTGCTGCTGGCAGTTCCATCAGGAAAAAGCCAGGAATCAGTTCAAAGCTCATGGAATTAATGGAAAAGGGATCACATGTCATTCCAAAATGGAAACTTTTGGCCCACTTTTTGTGATTATGCTCCACTTTCATTTTTAATAAACTCTGGCTAGGTTAGTGACTGGATAGGCTATGTGTGTTGTGGAAACAGGGGTTACAATTATACCAGTATTATTTTTGAATGAAAAGCAAATTGTATTTACTATAAATTAGTTTGAGAATAAATTAAGAAGTATCAGAAGAAACACCCCAAATAATGGCCCAGAATTCTCACTACAGGTAGTCCCTGATTTACAACCATTCGTTTAATGACTATTTGAAGTTACAACAGCACTGAAGAAAGTGACTTACCATTTTTCACACTTACGACCATTGCAGCATCGCCATAGTCACATGATCAAAATTCAGATGCTTGGCAACTGACTCATTTATGATGGCCACAGTGTCCCAGGATCATGTGAACCTTCCGACAAGCAAAATCAATGGGGAAACTAGATTCACTTAACAACTGCATTACTAACTTAGCAACTGCAGTGATTCATTTAACAAGTGTGTCAAGGAAAGTTGTAAAATGGGGCAAAACTCACTTAACAAATGTTTCGCTTAACAAGAGAAATTTTGAGCTCAACTGTGGTTGTAAGTCAAGGACTGTCTGTATTTAACTATGAAACAACTGGTAGATATCATGTGATATTGTCATTTAAAGCAACAACTGTCATTTCAATGCAACAGAATGAGATAGATATTCTATGTCAATTAAGTAAGAAAGAATAGGAGAAAGCTAACTTACTTCTTTGTGAGCCAAGAAAACTTTTGATGCTGCGGCTTTGGAAGATTTTTTAAAAAGCCTTTTAAGTCTTTGTCTTACAGGAAGAACTGAATGAGCATAATGACTTCATGCAAAATGACTGTTGGCCTAATAGGATATTCAAATGACTCTGTGAGTTTCCTAAAGTTAGGCCTTGTTGAATCTTGCAATCAGAAATAAAAGTGCTATTAATACTTTTAAAACTGGTACAGCACTGAATCTTTTTGCAGATGGTCATATAGTTCCCTAGGAGATATGGAAACCTTTTTTTCATGTTTGATTTGTATATAACTGGCATAAAAAATTAATAACGATAATAATAGCTTGACTGAGATTGGCAATGCAAGCTTACTTTTTACTATCCAAAATCATAACAGAACAGCAGCATGTCTTTTTGCCTGTGAAGACTGGGTTAGAATAATTTTCCTTTCTTTTTAAAAATTTCTTTTATTTTATTTTCATATATCAGCCTGGACAAAATCAACCAATAAAAACCCAGCAAGTAGACATGTCTATTTTAATGTGTAGCTTAGTATTGACTTTGTGTGGCGTAAGACTAAACATCATGGGAACTGCTTTGTGGAAAAGCAGAATTTTAGTTCCTATTTAACTGCACATATGTTAAGCCCATATGTGAAAATATTCCCAAATTTGAGGCAACTGCAGAAGGAGAGAGTATTCAATCTTTCATTAGCATTTGTTCTGCTATCACCAGGCACATTCTTCTCCTTTAAATTTACCCAATACATTTATATATAATCAACAAATATAAATGAGCACAACCTTGTTATATTTTAAAAATTATGGATTTGTAAAGTTCAGTTGAGCATTTTCATCAAATGAAAATTATACAATTCCTTTAGAAATGTAAATTTACAGACACATTCACATATACATGGGTGAAACTACCACCACATATCAATCCAAAGGACTTCAATATCACCAAACAGTATTTTTCTATGGTAGTAATGCACTTGTTCAGATTCAATCCAAGTACTCAAAAAGATAAATTTATGTAGGGTGTGATTTAGCTTTCCACACTTCACAGATTTAATAAAGGTTATTAAAATTGTCCAAAGTCTCTGTTATGCAAAAGTTTACATTGAAATATTTTAGCTTTCCAAAAATGTTAAAGTGGCTGCAATATTGCTGAAATTGAAGCACAGTATTTCCAGAAAGTAGCTTATGGCCTAATTCTGTTTTCAAAAAACATGAGTTGCCCACACAAGTAAACTTCAAATACACCAAATGCGTCATAGCACACAACTAAAAATATAGTTTAACAATTGGTATATTTATAGTATCCTTTCATGCCCGAACCTTAAAATATTGACAATTACAGATAGTCCTCAAACTACAACCACAATTGAGCCCATTTCTGTTGTTAAGTGAGATATTTGTTAAGTAAGTTTTGACCCATTTTATGGCTTTTCTTGCCACACTTGTTAAGTGACTCACTGCAGTTGATAAATTAGAAACATGGTTGTTAAGTATATCTATCTGGCTTCCCCGTTGATTTTGCTTGTCAAAAGGTTGCAAAAGTTGATCACATGACCTTGGGACACAACAACAATCATAAACATGAGTCAGTTGCCAAGTGTCTGAGTTTTGATCACGTGACCATGGGGATGCTGCAACAGTCATAAGTGTGAAAAATGATCACAAGTCACTTTTTTCAGTGCTGTTGTAATGCTGAATGGTCACTAAATGAACTGTTGTAAGTCGAGGATATTGTACCATGTATATTTGCAGACTACCCTCTGTATCTCTCAATGTGTGATCCTTCACTGCTATGTTTCAATTTTATACTAAACTTACGCAATATGGCAGAGAATACACATTCTCTATTTAAATTAGCGATGTACAAAGTATTTCAAATAAAAAAGATCCTCTATATACATTCCAATACAGTTCTGATCATTCTGGAAACATTCCAAACTAATTTCAGCTCAAAATATTTCCAGAATTGTCAGTCTTCTAAATAAAAAACTGATCTTGATATGATATAGGACTTATGGAGAGAGGAAATATGTACTACATATTATGGGAATTATTAAAAAAAACACATCAACATTTATACCTGTCAATTGCAGTGATGCAAACTCGTTTTTCTAGAATCGAACTATGCTATGGAAAGTTATGAAACCAATTTGGCTCTAAGAGGAGACAGCTCTATAATAATGTCAGCATGCCAGTTTTTAAAAAAATATTTTCAGACTATACGTTAAAAATTAAATAATACATTCTAAAAATAAATATGTATAATCCTAATCCTTTCAAAGAATGCCTTAGTTTCCCCATGCCCCCTGGCAAACAACATTTCCCTAAATAAGGATTCTATTTTCTAAATTTAGGCTCCCAATTTCAACAGTCACTAGACAAATCAAAGCACAGCTAAAGGACAGCTTGAAGATTTTGGTCTCAGACCAATCTTCTGAGCAGCAACAGTCTTGTCACATGTATGAACCACATGTACTAACATGAAGCATTTCTGACAGTACCGTTCCCAGCAGCTAAAACTCCCTCTGAGAGCGCCTGTTTGGTGTTGTGGTTAAATCACTGGGACAGCGGAACCCAGGAGAACATGAATTCTAGTCCCGATTTAGATATAAAATCAGCTGAGTGATCTTGGGCTGGTCATTCTATTTCAACCCTAGAAAGAAGGCAATAGCAAACCACTTCTGCTCTCTTGCCAAGAAAACTATAGGAGTCTGTCCAGTCAGTCACCAGGAGTCAACACTGACTCTAAGGCAAACACATACAAACAAAACACCCACCCACAGAGTCCTCGAGAATTAGACTTGCAGCCTACATTCAGAAGGTTTTAAATTCAGCTTCTTCATGCTTAGTCAGATAGCAACATAGTCTATTGTCTAAGACAATAGAATTGTAGGAGAAGATATTTTGATTTGATTTGAGGGCAACACACTTTGTCTCAAATTGTACTTTGTCAACAGGCTGCCCATGACCAGCTTTTCTGATTTTAAAAGTTGTCTGCAATCTGCGTAAAACGAATAGTCAAAAAAGTTCAAAATGCCACCCTATCTATGGTTTTTACGATGCAAATCTCATCGTGCTTGCTTTTAGGAAACATTTTTCAAGGTCACACAACTAACAAAACAAGTCAGGAGGCAGGATAATAATCTCTTTAAACAAATCATTATTTATTTAAGTCTTCCAAGAAGATAAAACACACTCTCCATGGCTGAATTCTCACAGATTATTTTTAACACCATTGACCTGGAAATTCAAACTAAATATAAATGAACTAATAGCTAAATATGTGCACATTCTCAGTGCAAGACTATGTCACCCTGCATACCCAAATAAATGACCTAATGCCCTCTGGAGGTTTGGGACTTTATCTCCCATCAGTCTCGTTATAGTGGCTAACAGCAAAAAAATATAATTGTACAAGATCAAAATCTCTGGAAGCATCAGGTTGCTATGCTGAGAAGAAAACATTGGTTTGGAAAACAGGAACTCCTGATTTATAAATATTTCACAGTATCTGGCAGGTACATATGCAACAGTCTTCAAGTAATTTAAAAGAAAAAATGATGGGGTCAAAAGAGAAAACAAGCACAACAGAATTCTTATTCTCAATTCCCTCCCAAAATCTCATGAAGAGCTTTAAGGAAAAGTCCAAACTCTCAATTCTTGAACTACGGTATTCTAAATAAAGCAAATCAACCAAAACCATTTTAATTAATTAATCCCTCATTCAAATTTCAACAATAATTCATAATTGCTAGACCCATAAGACATCAGAGTCATTAACATTCAGAGCAATCTTGGTAACTTTACACAATATTACGATAGCAGCCAGTCATCAATTTTCTGACATTATTCACACATCATTCTTCGTTAACATACAACCCAAAAAAGCACATTTAATGACAAACTCATCAGAAAATAAATCTTCCCCAACTTGTTACGCAAATTAGGTTGCTGCTCATTGTATAATGAATATGCATTCACAAACACTTCAACCTATAAGTAGCCTACCACATATTTAAATTACGGACCTATTAGTCTGTATTCCATATACCATACAGAACACTTAATAGCCAAGCATAACATGAATGCCAGAAGACAGATTATCAAAGACATGGAACAGTTAAGTAAATAGCTAGATCTGAGTTAATTGTAGCCAGGTGAATGCCAGATATTTTGGTCTATAACTTCCATCAGCACCAAACAGAATGACCACTAGTCAGGGATTAAACAATTTATAAACCAAGAGATCTGGAATCTAATAAATTTCTGAGGTGCTCTGTCAGTTTGTATTACTTACATAGGAGCATACTTTCGGCAAATATATTCAGTGGAAAACTATGTACAATCATTTTGCTGTAAAATACATTATTAGGACATCTGCTGAGGGAACATACAGTACTTTGGACATACTTGTCCAAAACCCTGTATTGGATTCCATATTTAGAGATGAGTCAAAAAGCCTTAGGCCCAAATCGCCAATAATGTTTAAATAATCAATGAAAGCCTAGCAAGAGCATGTATCTTACAATAAGCAGCTGATTTGGGGCAGGGGGGGGGGTTAGGGGAGCAAAGGAAACTTGGTGACTTTTATTTTGAGACAGGACAGCTGGTGCCCTTGTGACAGCAACTTGCTACTGTATAAAAAAAAACTTTGATCCAAAATATAAAAGCAGAAGATGAGATGGCCCTGACAAAAGAGGAAAAGGAAGGAAAAACATCTTTTTCCCAGGTGAAAAGATTAAATTAACTTGCACCTTTCTATATCTTCATCTGTCTTCCATCAAATGGCAAGCCCAACACTTAAAATAAACCTAACCCCATATGAAACCAGTCTCCGGGTGCCCATCAAAATAGAGTTTGGAGATTACCTAGCTTATTGCCCTCCTCAGCAGGTGTCCTAATAGTGTATTTTGGAGCAAACTTCATCATTATATCCAAAGAGTTCCGTTTTCCACCGAGATAAAAAAAATTACATTTGCGGAATATTTTACCTTTATCCCTTCAGTTTCGCTCTGCCTTTTCCTCTGCCCCTTTCTACAACCCCTTGTCAAATTTCGGCATCTCCTAAAACTAGTCCCCCTCTTCTTCAGCCTGTTTCTCCCCACCCCCTCCCCGCCCCAAGGTCCTATAAAATCCCATTACTGCACCCTTAATCCCGTTTTGTTCTTGCTTTTTAATACCCTGCCCGGCTGTCCTTTCCTTCTCCTACTTTCGCTTAAATCCTCCGCACCTACTTCTCCGCCCCCCAACACTTTCTCCTTCTCTCCGGCCACCTTTCGGCCAGGTCCACCCAACCACCACCCCACACACACCTCCGTTCCAATAAAAAGGAAGACGTTAAAACACGTGCCATCTCTTACCTTCGCAAACATCGGCTCTCCCTGTCCTCCCCAGCCAGCCAACTCCCCCCCCCCGCCCTCAACGTGGTTCATTCAGCGCGGCGAGCCGGCTTCCCATCCCTCCGGCCCAGTTCCCTTGCTTCCCCCTCTCCTTCAATGCTGACCTTCCCAGCCGCTCCCTCCTTTCCCTCACTCACGTTCTCCCACCAGCAGGATCCTCACGTCCTTCTTCATCGTGCTCTGTCTCCGCCTTTCTGGGTCCAGCGATCCGGCTCACATCAGGGCTTCGGCCCAAGGCGTGGGGGGGAGGGAGGGAGGGAGAGGAGGTGGGGGGGAAGAGCCACGGCCTACTACGCTCGACCCGCTCGCGCCGTCCCGCCTCCCAACAGCCGGCGCGCGCGCGCTTGCTTTTGCTCCACCGCGCGGCCACCCCTCCCTCGCGCCCGTTCTCGCAACCTTTCCCTTCGGAGAGATCATAGACGGGAGGCTAGGAAGGACGGACGCCTTTTGAACTTCCGGAGCTAAGTTCACAGCCCTTCAATGGCAGGAAAAGTTCTCTCTCTCTTTCTTTCTCTCTCTCTCCCTTCCAGGTTGCTCTGTGAGGGCTCGGTAGGAGCCCACCGGCGTTTCCTGCTCATACGAATCGGAAAGGCAGTCCGATGGGAGGGAGCAAACCGGAAGTGTATAACCCATGCCTATTCTAGAGTTTAATTTAAAAAAAAAACAGGCGTTCAAGAGCAAAGAAGCGCCTTGGGTTGTTTTTCCCCCCCTGCTGTAATTTAATTTAATTTAATTCGGAAAATAATAACGAAAGTAACATGCAAGTATTTAGGGCTACGATGTACACCCGCATTCAATTGATTGGGAGAAATGGGTTGCTTGGAGAGATGGCGATACGATAGATTTATCGTTGATATCGCTTGAAAATCATAGAATAACAGAGCTGGAAGGGACCTCGGTGGTCATCTAGTCCAACTCCCTGCTCAAGGAAGAACAGAGTTGGATTTGTTGCCTGGTATAAGAGATGTGTGTTCAAAATTCGTTTTAGTTTCATCTGTTTTTGAAATGTCTATGCTGCCCTATAGAATCAAATTTTCTAAGAGGTACAACTATTGCGATTATTGTACAACATAAACCCCGTGGAAGAGCATCTCTGGCGTTTGTTAACTTGTCTGCCCTCCACTAGTGTTAAAATCTTGTGTCCAAAAAGTTTTTATCTACCACAGATGAAATTTTATTGGCTTGATATCTTTGTTGTGATTGTGGCATGGGTACATAAAAGTCAACTAGGTAACTGTCAATCATTGACTGAAAGTCCTAATGCCTTTGATGGAGGAAAACTAGCACAAGGCCATCAAAATAAGCAGACAAAAATACATTGGTGCATGGAACTCAGTGGTGCAAAAAAAAGAGAAAAGAACAAGAACCTGGGTGCTATTTATTTTAGCTTCCAAGATAGTTTTCCTGTGAAATTCATTATAGCTTTAAAGTAACGTCCTCTAAATCACTTTTATTTTTGATGGATTTCTCAAAGTATCTAAATAGCCTTGTTCTTCAATTATGTATCTCAAAACAAGGTGTTGAAAGATGGAAATGTATATTTTACCTAGTACGTTATCTCAAAATTAATTTGGACAATCTCAATTTATAACTCTGCAAAGTTATGTGTTTAAACTGATGGTGCTCTTTCTTCTTTTGGTCTGCCTTTGGTCATATCAATCATACGTCAATCCTGATGGCAGATCTGTCGGCCTTGAATGACTTCTTGGTAAAAGTCAGGTCATTTAATGGAAGAATGTCCATTATAAATAACATCCCCTAAGTTTACCAACCTGGACTTACCTATTTACAATATTTTGAAATTTAGTTATATGGAGAGGATACACTCCAATTTTTAAGAACTCATGACGAGATCTTGGAAATTATATGCCTGTAAGCTTAACATCTGATAAGATAGTGAAGTGCTATTAAAGATAAAATGTCAGAGGCTTTGTTGAAGGATGTTCAACATAGCTTTGGGAAGTGTAGGTGTTTTGAAAATGTTAATAAAAATGTGGATGGCAGTAAACATCTACTTAGATTTTCAAAAGACCTTTGATAAAGTTCCTCATCTTGATAAGTTCAACAGTCATAGAAAAAAAATAGCAGATCTTTTTGTGAAAAAACAATTGACTAAAAGTAGTAGGTGTAAATACACATCTCTCACTATGGAGGGATGTAACTACTGTGATCCCCTGGGATTCTATTCTCACTTTCTTAAGTATTTATAAATTATCTGGAATTGGGCATGACTAGTAGAATAGCCAAAAGAATCTCAGAAATTTACTTTCTGTTTTCAGCAAAACTGGTGCATTTAACAACTGCTGCATTCATTTAACAATCATTGCAAAAAAAGTTTGCAAAATTTAGTCAGTCAGATGGTGACCCACTGTATGATCATTATGACTTACAACTATAATGGGCAGGATCCAGTATGATCATAAATTGAGAACTACCTGTAATTCATTTTGGGATTCAGTACCATAAGATGTGGTGCTGTCTACCAGCTTGGCTGATTTCAAACAGGTGTTGGGCTAATTCATGGATATTGTGGGAATCAATTGCTATTAGCTTGGATGGTAGTCAAACTGCCGCTTCAGTCATCCACTGAAGAAGCTACTTGGATAAGCAGCTTCAAGGCAAGGAAAAGAACTCCAGGTGCTATGACTCAACTTCCAGACAACTCTATCTGGATGAATGAGAATCTTCATTGATAATTCTGATAGATTTAGATACTTTATTTGTATGCCGCCCTTTTCCCTGAGGGGACTCAGGGCGGCTCACAATTCAGGGGGAGGGAGGACAAACAAGTTACAAATAGCGGTTGATGGGATCTTATCCATCTCCTGAAGGGTTTTCTTCCTGGCTTTTGTCCTGCTTATTAAGTGCCTGCTTAGGTATGGCAGCTTCATCCTAGTCTCAAACTATCAGGATGCCAAAACCTGGTCAGATCTCAGTATTAAGATCAACACAGATTAGCACAGCATACTGAACCCCAGGTTCAGTTTCAAGCTTAGTAAAAAAAAAAAAAAACCAAACAGCAATAACTGTTTTTATGGACAGATTATTGTCTTTCAGATGGAATTTAAAGCAGGGAGCAATATGTTGCCCATGGGGACTTATCCTCTGGCCTGCTGGGAACCCCATCCAAATTGACTTTAATTTTTAAAAAAGTTTTAGTTTTAAAAAAAATCAAACGAGACTGATAGATGCCCAAAAAGGGGAATCAGCTTCTAGCAGAGAAGAGCATTAAAACCAGGTTATTGAAGAAGTCCTTTAGCTGATTATTAGGTGTCTTGCTCTCAGAATAGCTGCCTAAGAGTAGAAGAGCAGATTGTTTTCCCCATTCCTTCTGTTAAAGAACTTTTTTGTTTGTTTTTTCACTTTGCTTATGCTTGTCGAATAAGTAGGGAGCATCCCCGAGTTCATATTATTTTGCAGGCACCAAAATGGTTTTTAAAAATCCTTTAAAACCATTAAATCAGCTTAAGCCATAAAAACAATTAAGATTAAATGCAAAAGTACCTGAGATCTTGCAAGATTGGGCTTTGGGGTGTTAGGCGAAGCCGAAGCCTCAGATGGATTCTCTTTTCCCATCACTAATGACCACTAAGTCACGCTGAAGCAAGGAAGGCAACTTTCAGCTGTTTATTTCTGCAGAAACAGAGAATCTCATAATTGGGAGTCTAAATCATGCCTAACTCCTAGTAAAACCTAGCTCCGATCTTTATACAAAATGTTTCTCTGTTGTTTTACAATGTGTCATTATATGTAATTTCTTTCACAAGGTTAGTGTTTAAATTTGGTTGATTACATTTGTTCTGTTTGGAACAGAACAAACAGTTTTCTGCTGCGTGTCTGTAGTTTCTCAGTTCCACAAGGAAGCTGACAAAGAGAAGGGAAACTTAAGACAGTCTGGTGGGTAATTTAATCAGTTATAATGTTTCTACATAATTTTATCAATTCCTGGATGACTTGGTGTTGAAAACATTATTTGAGACCTTTTCTTATGAATGGGATTCCTTTCTCATAGAAGTGATAACTTCTATCAAGGATTTAAAGGGGACTTTCTCTATTTGAAGGATTCCATTATTTTTATATTCTTCATCATTTTATGTTCTTAAGCTGTCTTCAAGCTATTAAAGGGAACCTTTTTAAATCCCTGGTATTGTTTTATATTTTGGATTTAACTTCCTTTTAGGGGCATAGTGGACCCCAACTAACCAATGACCACCTTATATCTTCAGTGCAGGTCTTTAGCCCAGTTTGTTGAATAAGCCCCCAAGGGTTGGTTTCAGAAAACAGTAAAATATGAAACTATGATTTATGAACCACAGTATTATAGTCATGCAACTTAACTAAGGCAAAATAAAACAAACCACATTATCACACGGTGCAGTATATAGAACCCAGGTTTTATTGCTGGATGTATATAACGAAGTGATTATATACCTTTAAAAAACATACAACTAAACCATAACTATAAATAATGCAACTTTACTAATCAAGCAAAAATATGTTTGTAAGCTGGCTACTTTGAAATATATAGAGAATGTAGGATGAAAGTGACACAGTATTGTTTTATTTATTCACATCCACTTCTATTCCTCTAAAGTTCTTACTGAATTTCTTGATATGAGTTCCAGGACTGAACAAAGTACCACATGTGAGGGTTCTTCCAGAAATTTGTTATTTTTACTTTTCTAATTTTTACTTTGTCATTGTTATCAAGTTATGGGTCCATTTATTTTTAAAATACTTCAATAACTCCTCCTATATTCTGAAATAATTGACTCTGAAGTGTATTCATTTGCAAATATATAATGCTAAGTCTGCTCAATATCCCCCACATTGTTTTTTTATCATAATGCTTCTATTCTGATTTTCATCAAATGTCACACGTGGAACCCCTTTCTATCCTAAACAGTACCTGGGTTGAATGTAAATAATAGGAAAAATTAATCTCTGAATTTCATGATTAGAGGAGAATTGGTGTCCCCTTAGTCTCTCTACTTTTTTATTACCTTCAAAACTATGTTCTACGGATTCTCAATTATGTTGTGATTAAAAACTAGAACTCATTGCTGGAGAATTTTAATTATTGGTTTACCTGCTGGCCCTCTAACAATAGTGAGGTTATTGTTTTTACAAAAGGACAGGAAACTAGGGAATACAGCACTGGAAGTAATTTGAAAAAAATGATGACATCCATAAATTACTGGAAGTATAAGATTGTAAAGTATTAAAATCTAGACCATACTGGATACTATATAGTACAGATCTAGTAGTAACACTACATACATATTATGTGTAAAATTTAGATGACATCGAACAGCCTGATTTTTCCACCCATTTTCATAGATAACTGTTTACCACTAAGTGTTTACCACCAAGTTCCAGTATGTCCCATTGTCAACCATGATACTAGTACTAGGATAAAGTCATTTGAATGTGCGATAGGTAGTCCTCAACTTATAATAACAATTGGGATCTGAATTTTCAGCACTAAGCAATGCAGTCAAAAAGGCAACTGTATCCCTGTAATCCTGGTTGCTTTTGTTAACTGTACCCCACGATTGTGAGGCGAGGCAACTTCTTGCTGGCTTCCTACAACCAAAGTCAGTAGGGAATCCAGCAGGAGGTTCTAAGTCTCAGACCAGCAAATAAGTGTTTTTTTCTGGATGAGGGAGGGAGCATGTGAGAGGTGCTGTGCAGGTTGGAGAGGGTGCGTGGAGGCATGCCAGCTTGGAAAAGGTCTGTGGGGACACAGGATACTATATAAGAGCATACAGGAGTATAGTGAGGGCCAGGTGAGCAGGGATGTATGAGACATTATGGGGAAAGTTCATGGAGGTGTGATGTTGGTTGGGAAGAATGCGAGGGTGCTTGTCTGATAGGATGCATGGGCTTGCAGCATGACTCGAGAAGGATGTACAGAGTGTGCCAAAGGTGCAAGGTGGGCGAGGGAGGATGGATGGGGTGCAATATAGGATGGGTAGGTACACAAGAGGCAGGTAGATCGGGGAGTGTACATGGTCATGAAGGTCAGAAAGGATATGGAGTGCAGTGTCAGTCAGGAAAGGTGTGCAAGTTGTGGCGTAGGTTGGGAAGGCTACATAGTGGTGCGACATGGGTTGGAAAGGATGCACAAGGGTGCAACACAGCTTGGAATGGATGTGCAAGAAGTGCCGTGTGGATCAAAGAGTGCATAGAGGTGGAACGTAGGTCAGGAAGGGTTCATGGGAGATGTGCAAGTGGCCCTAATGGCACAAGCGCAGACGGGGTGGAGAGGAAGCATGGATGGGGAGACTTGCACCAATGACTTCTAGCAAACCCTGCTGGTTTCCTCATTGACTTTGTGGGGAAGCTGGCAGGGAACGTTCCATATAGCAAACACATGAACACGGGATAGTTGGCAAGTTGGTCATTAGCTCAAATGGATTGCTAAGTGCCCAGATCATGATCACATGACCATAGGGGTGCTGCTATGGTCATAACTTTGAGCACCAGTCGTAAATCCTCTGCTCAGCAGTGCCATAACTTTGAATGGATGCTGAACGAAGTATTGTGTGTGAAGGGCAATCTGCAACTGGCTATGCAGGGATCATGGTAGTTGACAGACTGTATTTATGCACCCCGAACCCAAACTTTCTTTTGAAACTGTGCACCTTCTAACCTCCGTCCAATGAGAGTGCAAGCTTCCAACATGCTCACCCTGTGTAAGACTCATTTCCATTCCGAAAGCCAGAAAAGATGAAGCACTTCATAATTCAAGCAGCAAAACATCAGAATCTTAAAAGAGTCTTTAGAGGGCAAATGCTTATTAAGACAATATACAATATACAATTGTGGCGTAAAATTAATGCCTATTAACATCATTTATAGTTAAACTCTCACCAATATTCAAGCTAGCAATCCAAAAAGCAGGGTAAACTGGATTTGCTGCGTTGATTTCAAACTTGTGTAAACATGTTTCTTTATCAGTGAGAGAATAAAAAGACAATGTTTTTGTTGGAAAGTCAAGGAAAACTCCAACCCGCAAAGGCCTATTTTCATCAATTTTGGTTTGTTGACTGTTGTGCCATGCCGAGGTATGTTTATTGAATTCTAGGCACCAGGATAATTCATTTCTTCCTAGTCGGTCCTTTGTGCCAATGTCCCCACTGGCAACACCAATGGCCCATACAGAAGATCCCTTGCTGTTGACTTCCCAGTAATGGCGGCCTTCAGAGAAACCCGGAGAGCCCAGCACTTGACCGTTGCAAAATCTCTTCGGGGAGCGTTCATATTGTTTGCGACTACGAGACACTCTCACTTTCCTTTTATTGCCTGTGATCTCAAGGCTGCAACCAACTGTTTCATCATCAAATGTAACGATGGACATCCCTAAGTAAAGTAAAATTAAAAACATAGAGATCTCTAGGAGCCTTAAATGAAGGAAATCTGTTCACAGTTCAGAGTCCACAGTCCATCTTCTCTACCTGCAATCCAGCACTTGGCCTGAAAAATGGTCCGAAAAATGCCTGAAGACGGACCCAAAAAACAGCCTGTTTTTGGACTCTTTTCTGGTGCTCCAGCGCTCGCGGAGACCACCTGGCCGACACACATGCATGTGCTGGAAACCCAAACATCAGCTGGTTAGCACACGTGCCCACAGAGGGCTCTGTGTGCCACCTGTGGCACGTATACCATAGGTTCACCATCATGGGCCCAAGTCATCTTTGATAATTCATTAAGGTTTAAGTTTTCCTTTTTGATCTGATGAGGCAGCGGACAGATATGCTTTTGGATTACAATTAGGCTCATTAAAGGATGCAGCAGACAAAGCATCCATTTGTGTCAGTGCATTAAAAGAAACAGTGTTAGTCGGAATCCTGTGGTTTTGTTTTCAGTAACATAAAATAAATAAGTAGAATGAGAATCAATAAGGAATAAAACACTGGATACATGGCTGGGTTAACGGTGCTGTTAGTTGTCTACCATTTTCATTTGTTTTATAATTTAAAAGACTATGCGAAGTCATATAGCAAAGTACCTGCTCTGCAGACCAGGGTTTAACATACACAGACTTCAACTCATGCTGGTTGCAGAATTCTGGAAGTTGAAGGTCACATATCTTGAAGTTGTTAAGGGTGAGAAATACTGCCATGGACTATGGGCTAATGGATAAGGGATGCCATTTACCGGCATCGGTTTCATGGGAAAAAGTGGAGGTGAACCAATACATTTGTCCAAGTCTATAGGGCCGTGATGGCGAACCTATGGTACGTGTGCCACAGGGGGCACGTGTAGCCATTTGTTAGGACATGTGATGAGTATCCCTGTCAGCTCCAGCACATGTGCTGGCCAGTTGACTTCAGCCTTTATTTTCGGCCGTTTTTCAGGAATGGACTTCTGGTTTGCACATTGGGCTGTTTTTCTCCCTCCGGAGGCTTCAGGGAAGCCTCCAGAGGGCGAAAAACGGTCCTACAGGCAACCTGGAAGTTTGGGAACAGACTTCTGGTTTGCTCAATAGAACTGTTTTTTGACCTCTGAAGGGTTCAGGGAAGCCTCCTAAAGCCTCAGAAGGCCTCCGGGGAGGGGTGCGGGAGGCCATTTTCACCCTACCCAGGCTCCTGGAAAACCTCTGGAACCTGGGGAGGGTGAAAAACAGGTATATCATGCACCAAAAGTGGGGAAGGATGGGGGTCGCACGCATGCACGCGGGGGATCGTGTGCATAGAATTATGGGTGTGGGTTCCCCCCACTTTTGGCACGCAATGGGAAGAAGGTTAAGCACCACTCCTATAGGATGATAGTTCTGGGAATGATTCTAGATTAGAAAAGGGTACATTCTCAGGATACCCACCTGATATTTCTCCAGCACAGAAAAATAATGGCTATAAAAGTCCACACAATTCTGAAAAACCTGCTACTGCCATGTGCTACATAACCAAATAAATTATTGCCCAAGACCCCTGAAAACTAACCTCATTTTGTTTTATTAACACTAGTCAATTTATTTAATAAACACTATATAGTGTTACTTCTAAAGAAAGCAAAATAAAATTTAAGAAAGCACTCTTAAATGGAATATAAATGATCTGTTCCAGAAAAAAAAAAGTTTGAAATACCAATTCAACAGCTGCTTTTCAAATTATTTTTGAAAGGGAAAGTTTGTATGTTTCATCTACAGATCTCAATATCACTCTCTTGTATGTGCAGCAATGTACATACTTACACTGAGAAAAACTACTTGAAATCATCGGCAATTCTCTGTCACTAGGAGATGGCGCTGCTGATGAAGAGCTGCTTGCTTCCTGCACGGAATCATTCCTTGGGACTGTAAAAAATATTCAAATTTGTTTGCAATATTTTGCAACTCATATTCTTAAATAGAGATAGACAACATGCTACCTGGGGTCATTGACCTTGGCATAGGAGAGAATTATCTCCACCCCCTGCATATTTACTATTTTAATTATCATATTTTCTGCACTATAAGACACACTTTTTGTCTCCCAAAAGGGGGTGAAAATTTCGGTGCTTGTTATAGACTGAATATTGCCAAAACCCCACCCACCCGGTGGCCATTTTTGCCCTCTGCAAAAATGTTTTTGGGCCTTTTTTCAGCCTGTTTTTAGTGCTTTTTTCGGCCTATTTTTGAGGTTTTCTTCAGCCCTTTTTTGAGGCTTTTTTTTGGCCCGTTTTTTCCAAAATTTATAATCTTATAATCTGAAAAATACAGTAAAATTAAATGAGAAACTGGCATCCTGCTAAGTGCCCATTTCTAGTATCATTTTAATTTCCAAGAACAGTAGTCGGTATATCACATGGATCCCATAGGCAGCCTTAGAAAATTAAAAAACAAACAAACACTTTTTTTGCCTTTTCATGAGCAGGAATAATCTAGATCAGTGATGATGAATCTTTTGGATCTGGTGTATCCAAAAATTCAGAAAATGCCTAACTTGATTCTGTCGACATGTCACACAGACAGACAGACAGACACCCACCATCCATCACCCATCCATCCAGGCAAAAGAGGCCTCTATGGACCTCCTCTCCTCTGGACTCTCTTCTCTAGACTCTCTGGAAGACATGCATTTTCTGGACCCCCAGAAAAGTTTTTGAGAATGATTGTGCAATTTTCAGATGCTTCAGGCTGTGCAAGAGTAAGATCTTCTAGTGCAACTTTCAGAGAGTCTAGACCAGGGGTGAAATCTATTTTTTTTTTGCCACCGGTTCTGTGGGCATAGCTTGGTGGAGGGGATTATGTGAGTGGGTGGGTGTGGCCAACTTTTTCTTACTTTTTAAAGCATTTTTTTCCTGCCAGTTCAGGTGAATAGGCAGGAAGAAAAATGCTTTAAAAACCAAGGGAAAAAGCTTCTGCGGATCGCATGGCTCACAGCTGAGCCATGTGATCCTCAGAAGCTTAATTTTTTTACTACCGGTTCACAGAACCAATGACAATCGTTCTGTGAACCGGTAGTACCAGTTCTGCCGAACCGGGAGGATTTCACTCCTGGTCTAGACTAGAGGCCTGACTTGTCACCATAAATGACATGGCGTGTCACCTGTGACACCAGTGTCATAGGTTTGACATCACTGATCTAAATGATGTTTTTTCATCCAGGCCAATTGGGAGGCCAGTTGTGCAGGTCCCAACCTGAGAACCCAGTGATGTGTTGCAGGGTATCACAACTGAAGAAATCCCCAAGGATTGTTTAGAGCAGGGGTGTCAAACCTGTGATGACACGTCATTGTGTGATGTATCACAACTTTTTTCCCCTTCGCTAAACGAGAGGTAAATGTGGTCAGCACATGTTGCATCCATGGGCCCCAAGTTTGCACCCCTGGTTTAGAGTGATAAGTGACAGAGCCAGTCAAACAGATATGGTAAGAGCCATATCAGTATAAGTACGATGCTGCCAGGCCAGCCACGAGTACTCACAATATTTCTCCTCATATAAACCATGTAACAATCCGAAGATGACCAGACAAAGGTGATTAAGAATACTCTTATTATTTTTACTCCACAACAATACTTATGCCAAGCATATTGATTCCTGCATATTAATCCCATATTATTCCTGTAATTGTGATTTGGGTAATTAATGTGCAAAACTATGCAAAGTTGTACTTTAATCTGTAACAATTTGTACTTTAAAAAAAAGAGCTAGCAAGAGTTTTTCTTTTGTTCAATCAAACCAGGAATGTAACAACATCAGAACAACATGGATAAGCAGCAGAATGTGGAAAATGATTCCCTAGTGGAATAATGATTATGATCTCCCCAAAAATCAATTAAAGTTAATAAACTACCTACAGGAATCAATGGAAAGGAACATTTCTTTTGCTCCATCAGCTGCAGCTTCACTATTGTTGCTGGTTCCTGGAGAAGGCTCTACACAATAAAAAAAAAAATCCTGGCTGTTAGACACCGAGACTAGAAATTGGCATGGCAGAATACATAGCTGCTTTAAGTGGTACAGTGGTTAGAGTGCACAACTGCAGGCTATTTCTGCTGACTATCAACTGCCTGCAATTTGGCAGTTCGAATCTCACCAGGCTCAAGGTTGACTCAGCCTTCCATCTTTCCCAGGTTGGTAAAATGAGGACCCAGATTGTTGGGGGCAATATGCTGACTCTGTAAGCCGCTTAGAGAGGGCCGTTAAAGCACTGTGAAGTGGTATATAAGTCTAAGTGCTATTGCTATTATGTTTCAGCTTCAATCTCAGCTTAAGAAGATCTCCCTGATCCATTTTAGGAGGTTCCCATATCACTTTGATCAGCACTTCATTTCAGAGGAAGGCCATTTTGACAGGAAATGGGACCACCCATACATTTTCAATTCAAACTGAATGAGGGAGCTAATGACTGTCCATAGGTTGCATAAGAAGAACACCCATTATCCGTAGCCAATGGCAAGGAATGAGGGGATTTGTGATTCAATAGCACCCACAGCCATTTATTCTACCTAAACAAAGAATTTTGGAGATAGGGCTACTATTGCTTAAGAAGACAAATTCACATCTACACTTGGCAGCTGCTAATTCCTGTTGCAAGGATAAGATATTGAAAAGCATTCAGCGATAAAGAAGGTATCATGCAATGATGATTTGTCTCACTGGAATCCCCCAAACTGAGTACAGTATATAGGCCAGGACCTCCATATGCTGAGTATAAAGTCTACAGCTGGCAGTTGGATCAAACCTGTGCTGACCTCTCACTGACCAATTGAAATTTAAATACATTTTTCCTATAGGATATATTTCTTTGAAATATTACAAAAAAGGATTTTTTTAAAGCCTGCATATCATAATAGAAGGTACTATTCATTGCTAAACAGTGAAGTCTTTTATTTATAAAGTTTCTAGTACCTATAGTAAATGTCCCAAAGGTGCATTTTCAAGAGGCAACTGGACTTTCCAGTTTTTCTCTGAAGATATTTCCAACCTTAACAACTCTCTAAAAGAATGCAAATGACCAGCTGTCTGAAAGGAGTATAAATCCTTCCTTTCCCCAACATCCAGTCAGAGTTGAAGAATCTTCTTGGATGAGAAGTGAAACGTCTTCAAAGAAAAACCAGAAAGTCCAGTTGCCTCTTGAAAAAGCACCTTTGCAACAACCATGACCTAGATTTCCCTTTATTTGTATGCCGCCCTTTTCCCTGGGGAGACTCAGGGTGGCTCACAGTTCAAAAAGTGGGGGGGGGGATTACAAACAATAGAGGATTGAGAATCTGTAGACATCTACAATAATAATCAACTTGACAGTAAAGAGAAGCAAAAGTCTATCAAAGAGATTCCATGTCCACATTGCCAGTGCGTTTAACATACTGACAAAGCTAGAAAAAATGCCTGCCAGACAACAGACAACAAACACACTGTAGGGATGCTGATGGGTGAGGTCTGTTAAAAGGTAATAACCATGGATATAAAAGATCAGATGGAAGAACAAAATAAGATTCAATAACCAAAAGCAAAAACAGTGGCATGTTCAAAGACTTACAAAGAACAATATATAAGGACATCTGCCTTGGGCAGGGGGTTAGATTAGAAGACCTCAAAGGGCCCATTCCAGCCCTATGATTTTATTTCCACCAGACCCTAAGTATTCACTGCCCAGAAGAATTTGGTAGCTACAGAACACCAGTCATAGTAAGATCTGATCCAACCACGCCATCTTTCTCATGTTTAGCATCAGATTAGAATAACTATGCCAGACCATAGTGGTTTTATTTCCCTAGTGCAAGGGGTTGGCAACCTTAAACACTCTTTGTCATTTGGACCCATTTCCCACAGAAAAGAAAACACTGGGAACCACAAAACCCTTCCCGTGCTTGACTATTTCCTGAGCAAAACTAGCATATGTCGTTGAATTAAACATTCTGTTTTCTTCTGAAACTTTTCTTTTCTTGGATTTATCCATGGTTGGCCTACCGGGGGTCAAAAAGGACAATAAATTGAATGCCGGCGGGTGTCACATATTGGTGGTCGTGATGCATATTTTGAGTAACAGGGATGAAAAAGCCATATGCGGCTTCAGAGCCGTGGGTTGCTGACCCCTGCCCTAGTGATATTCAAAGCTTTGTAATAAGTCAGCACATGTGTACTCTTAATGTAAGAGGGGAATGAAAATTCCACCAACTCTGAGATGGCTGCGCTGGGAAATTCCTCAAAATTGCTGCTTCCAGTTGTCTCCTTAACTCTTCAACAGCACTGGCAATATTGCTGATCTTCTGAATGGGATCGCCAATATAATCTTCTTGTCCTGATGACATTTTCTAACAATTAAAAAATAAATCAAGAATTAAACAAGGCACCAGCAAGATTTCAGTAAGCATTTCTCTCAATTCTGTAATTAGAATCTGAATAACAGAACTTTTTTTTTTCCTGCAAGCCTTCTGCTGGTTTGTTTTTTGTTTTTATTTTTTTGGACCAAGTGTTGAGACAGGAACCAACCGACTGGCTTGTCACCAGAATCTAACATTGCTGAGAGAGAGTGACTGACCCAAGTCACCCAGTCAGTGTTGAACCCCAAACTCAGCTTTTCCTGGTTTCTAGCCTTCTGTGTGCTTTATTACATTTATAAATGTCTGCTAAAGTAGCCTCAGAATAAAGTAGAATTACCGTAGATCAGCTGATCATGCTTCCTCATCTGATCTATCTGGGAAGGCTGACATCAGCCTTGAATTTTGATAGTACAAATCTCCCAAGATCATTCTCAGATACGTAGCATCATACATGATCGCAATTTGGGCCTTGGCTCGCAATTATGAGGTTGCAGCGTCCTTCAGTCACCCAATTGTCATTTGTAACCTTCATTGCTGGCTTCTAACAAGTCAACGGGGAAGCCAGTAGGAGGTAAAAAATGTGATCACGTGACCTAATGACCACATGGGATTCACCTAATGACAGCAATTGGGGCTGCCTGAATTCCCATAAGTCAATACTTGCAGCATGGAGAAAAGGAAATTTTAATACTATATTTGTTGCATATAGTCCGAAGTCTGAGGGGGAAAAAAGGAGAAGCAGCATTGGTAACAGCCTGTGACCTATAGTACAGAATATTCAGAACTCTGGGTAAGCCTGGAGGGAAAAAAGACCGCTAGAATACTATACTGAGGACTCAACCCAATACTGTAGTATAACTACATACTTCTATACATACAGGTATCTGTTGTTTAAATCATATGTCTCTCCATTAATAGCAATCAAAATGCCTTCCAAATTATATTTTTAGGACCATCAAATTTAATAACTAAAAATCAACCTATTCTGCAATGGAAGGTCCCCCAAAGCACATTAGCACCTCACTCCTACTCATTTGTTCAGAAATACCATAGTTCTAGGACTCTCAGTGTTTAAAATATGTTTACAGTTTTGTAAGATGAGTGGTCATATAAAGAGGATACATTAATAAATAAAATAGATCTTTATGGTACCATTAATGCAATGATTTACCATCATAACTTCTTCAGATGTATTCTGCAAATCCAAAATGGGATTTTTTCCATTGATCTGCTTGTCTGTTATTTGTTCAGCCACATTCCATTCTTCTTCAATGATCCTTAGCACTATTTTCTCTTGATCACAAATGCACTTTTTCATAAAACTGAAGGCTTTTGAAATAGAGCTTCTGGTTTGAAACATATAATCCTAAAATCAGAAAAGGGACCGTTGCTGATGAAAGACCTCTACACAGAAATCTGAATGTTTTCAACATTTAATTTTTTCCCTTTACAATTCCAACAAAGTGCTTCAACAGTTTGAGAGCTAAACCAACTCCTCTCACAATCCATCATTCCCATTACTGCTTAAAAGTACCAGTAAGTAGTACTTTTTGGATCAAACTCCAAGTTTGATTCAAACTCAGCTCACATTTGACTTCACAATCACATCTATGTAGTTTCTGGGCATACTCTTCTTCCAGAAATGGTTTCAATTCCCAGTCTGTTGTGACAGTTTTCCATCCATTTACTAACTAGGCCCAGCCCCTGCTGAATTTTCTGAGATCAGCCAAGAGCAAGTAGATTAGCTGGCAACTCTGCCTCTTTGTATGTTGCTTTTGAAAAAGTGAAACTAGTCGGCTCACAACTGTCTCTCTTCTTTTAATGAACACTCTTTCAGGAAATGCAGAAAAAGCAGTGCAAGAAATGCCAAAGGGAACAAATCAGTAACAGAAAGAGAAACACATATAAATACTGGGCAATGTCCAGCCAGAGTGTTTGCACTCTTTCAACTAGCCCGAGGCTCTCTGGGTCAATTTCTCAAGCATCTCCTGAATAAACAAGGGGATGCCTTGTTTAGTGCCACATTGATTACACTGCTCTGCAGGACAGCCCTCCCTCTTGCGATGAAGGTCAGGATCTGAGTAATTCCTTAGTGCCATCAGGGCTGTTTTTCTGGAGGGCAACTTTTAGTGTCAGCTCCTCTGGGAGCCTGAATTTCTTCTGTTAATTTCTGGTAGATCTGGGGTCTCCAGATCTACCCTCCAAGTCAACTAACTATTGTTGAGTCTACAATACACTTAGGGGGTGACCTTGATAGACATCCATTTGCCAACCCCACAGGTAGTTCTCTGTTACCCATTGCATATGCTTGAAGACAAGCTTGCCTGTCTTCTTCTTTTTTTTGTTCTAGATTGAACAGATCCACGATCTCCCTCCAATAGTCCTTGGTAGTTCAGAATGTTTTGGAGGGGGGATTGTGGGTCAAACACCTTCTTCATATGTGGAGGAGCAGAAGGCCAGTATTTCCTCACAAGCAGTAGCTTGATTGTTCCTGGAATGGGGGCTTATCCAAGAATAGAATAGAATAGAACAGAACAGAATAGAATTATTTATTGGCCAAGTATGATTAGACACACAAGGAATTTCCCTTTGGTGCATATGCTCTCAGTGTACATAAAGAAAAATAGAACACATTCATCAAGAATCATAAGGTACAACACTTAGTGATAGTCAAGGTTACTAATAAGCTATCAAATCGTACTAGGAAACAATAAATAATTCTATTCTGTTCTGTTCTATTCTATTCTATTCTA